GGTCCGATGTTTAGATAACAATATGAGTCATTTTGAGAAACATTAATAGCTACAACAGTGCAAGTAGTAAGTCCAGAGTATGAATTCTGACTTCACAGCAGTTGGCAACAACAAAAACATCTGTTGGTACTGAAATCTAGTTTTTGCTGCTTTCTGAAATACTTTGTCCTCCTCAAGTGGGTTCAACCCAAATCCTACTCAGATTGCATGATTGTAGTTGAACAGGTGTGATCACTACTGGGCGGGGGGGGGGGGGGGGGGGGTGGCACAGCAAGTGAAACCACTAAGCTGCAGAACTTGCTGACCAGAAAGTCGGCAGTTCAAATCCATGGAACGGGTGAGCTTCCACTGTTAGCCCCATCTTCTGCCAACTTAGCAGTTCGAAAACATCCAAATGTGAGTAGATCAATAGGTACCGCTTTGACGGGAAGGTATTTATTTATTTATCGTGTCATCAGCAACCATACCATTGTATTACATTTCTAACAGAACAAAACAAACAAACAGATTAAAAAAACCCACAAATTTTGCAAACTTGGTAGTTGATTAAATGTCCTTTGACCAGTATCTGGCAACTTCGAGCGCCTCTGGTGTGGCTGCAAGAAGGTCCTCCATTGGGCATTAGGAGGGCTCAGGTTGCATTGCAGCAGGTGGTCTGTGGTGTGCTCTTCTCTGCACTCACATGTTGTGGATTCAACTTTGTAGCCCCATTTCTTAAGACTGGCTCTGCATCTCGTGGTGCCAGAGCGCAATCTGTTCAGCGCCTTCCAAGTCGCCCAGTCTTCTGTGTGCCCAGGAGGGAGTCTCTCATCTGGTATCACCCAATTGAGGTGCTGGGTTTGAGCCTGCCACTTTTGGACTCTCGCTTGCTGAGGTGTTCCAGCGAGTGTCTCTGTAGATCTTAGAAAACTATTTCTTGATTTGAGTTGTTGACGTGCTGGCTGATACCCAAACAAGGGATGAGCTGGAGATGTCTCTGCCTTGGTCCTTTCACTATTGGTTGCTACTTCCCGGTGGATGTCAGGTGGTGCAATACCGGCTAAGCTGTGTAATTTCTCCAGTGGTGTAGGGTGCAGATACCCTGTGATAATGCGGCATGTCTCATTAAGAGCCACATCCACTGTTTTAGTGTGGTGAGTTGTGTTCCACACTGGGCATGCGTACTCAGCAGCAGAGTAATATAGCGCAAGGACAGATGTCTTCACTGTGTCTGGTTGTGATCCCCAGGTTGTGCCAGTCAGCTTTGATGGGAAGGTAATGGCACTCCATGCAGTCATGCTGGCCTCGTGACTTTGGAGACGTCTACAGACAATGCCATCTCTTCGGCTTAGAAATGGAGATGAGCACCACCTCCTGGAGTCAGGCTTAAGGGAAAACCTTTACATTTACCTTATGATGGCTACAACCTGGCTTATATTGTCCAATGATGTTTCGTTCGTTTGTAAGCAGGATGTACCATAAATGTAATTTCTTCATGTTCATCACCACCACCATCATTGTCAATGTGGAGATTTTATCCAGATCCCCTTTACTTTGGTGCTCAGGAGCATGTGCTTCCATACTGGGAGAACTTCAAAGCCTTTTAATCTGGTCTAGCTATAACTGCGTAAGGGATGTTAAGACGGTAACATCCATACTCAGGTCAGGCCAGGGGGAGACATACTAGAGCGGCCTTCTGCCCCCAATTATAGCTAATAATAGGTGCTGCAGAGGAAGTGTACAAGATGTCAAAGGGTGATTACGATGTGTGATTCCATCCGATTCAATTATGCACTCTCTATTACAGTCTACAGGCAGCTTGGGCACGAGAATCAAGCAACCTAAGAGTGATTTCACCATGCCCAAAGTGTTCTTCTCTGAAGAATATTGTTTCCATAACACCTTGGGGTATTCAGATATCAGGAGAATATTGTGCCAAATTTTCACTGCTCTGTTACACTATGTAAAAAAATTTAAAAACCTTTTCTATTCCTGTTTTGAAAATGTTATTTCCTGTTTAATTGTGTGATACTTACTTGGAAAGTAGTTGCTATACTCCAGAACCTTCATTTTTGTGGCTGCCATTTTAAACCTTTCAATGTGCCATTTTTAACCTTTTATTTACCATTTTAATCTTTTGCGTGTAATTAATTTTTTTCATGTTTTCATGATAGAACCAATTCGGAAATGAAATGTATAACCCAGGAACAAAAATTGTATTATATAGTGCTAATCTTCCTGACAAGATTTCCCAAGATTTCCCATTTTTTTTAAGATCCTGGAACAAATGCAGTCTTTCCATCATCATTCTACAGAGGAAGAATTGTTGGAGGCTACAGACAATGCCATTGCTGTTGCTTGTTTTTGGTCAAAAGATATTTAGCCACGTGCGCTCCTTCTATTTTTATCAGTTTTATACTAATTCATGCAATGCTTTTGATACAAAATAAATCCTCATTCTTCCACTCACTCTGGGCAGCATGGGTTGACAGGGCCTTGGAAGCAATTGACTCCACTTAGGATTCCCGTGTTCTTTCAGCTGCATTTTAGTTTGTGACATTTTTAAAAAAATTATTTATCATGTCTGAAACGAATTGAGAATAGAGTTATATTGTATAGAAAACCACAAACCAAGTTACAAACTTGGCATTAGACTAAATGTCCTTAGGTCAAAAGCTGGCCACTTGGAGTGCTTCTGATGTTGCTGTAAGAAGGACCTCCTTACTTACTTACTTACTTACTTACCAAGGTGATCCCTTGTCCGAGTGGGATAGTCTTCCAAGATCGGTGTACTGGCGGTGGGTCCGTAGGTGACTGTGGAGCCCTATTCTTGATCTGCCCGCTCTCCTGCAGTGAGGGCATTGGTTTCCAGGTGGAAGGCGGTCCCGGTCGGGTTTGGCTTGATGCGCCTTCCTCTTGGCACATTTCTCTTTTTCACCCTCCATTTGTGCCTCTTCAAATTCTACAGCACTGCTGGTCACAGCTGACCTCCAGCTGGAGCGCTCAAGGGCCAGGGCTCCCCAGTTCTCAGTGTCTATGACAGAGTTTTAAAGGTTGGTTTTGAGCCCATCTTTAAATCTCTTTTCCTTCCCACCAACATTCCGTTTTCCATTCTTGAGTTTGGAGTAGAGCAGCTGCTTTGGGAGATGGTGGTCAGGCATCCGGACAACGTGGCCGGTCCAGCAGAGTTGATGGTGGAGGACCATCGCTTCAATGCTGGTGGTCTTTGCTTCTTCCAGCATGCTGACATTTGTCCGCTTGTCTTCCCAAGAGATTTGCAGGATTTTCCTGATGGAATCGTTCTAGGAGTTGCATATGATGTCTGTAGATAGTCCATGTCTCGCAGGTGTATAGCATGGTTGGGAGGACAATAGCTTTATAAACAAGCACCTTGGTATCCCTACGGATGTCCCAGTCCTCAAACACTCTCTGCTTCATTCAGAAAAATGCTGCACTCGCAGAGCTCAGGTGTTGTTGTATTTCAATGTCAATGTTGACTTTGGTGGAGAGGTGGCTGCCAAGGTAGCGGAAATGGTCAACATTTTCTAATGTTACACCATTAAGCTGTATCTCTGGCATTGGAGAGGGATGGCTGGTGACTGCTGGAACAGCACTTTGGTTTTCTTGATGTTCAATGACAGGCCGAGCTTCTCGTATGCTTCTGTGAAGTGTTTAGAGTGACTTGTAGATCTTCTTCTGAAGTGGCAGGGCTCAGGCTTCATTGTAGTAAGTGGTCTGTGGTTTGCTCTTCACATTCGCATGTCGTGGACTCCACTCTGTAGCCCCATTTCTGAAGACTGACTCTGCATCTCGTGGTGCCAGAGTGTAGTCTGTTGATCACCTTCCAAGTTGCCCAGTCTTCTGTGTGCCAAAGGGGGAGTTTTTCATCCGGTCTCAGCCACTGATTGACATTCCGGGTTTTAGCCTGTCACTTTTGGTCTCTCGCTTGTTGAGGTGTTTCTGCGAGTGTCTCTGTAGATCTTAGGAAGCCATTTCTGATTTAAGGCGTTGGTGTACTGTTTATATCAAAACAGAGGATGGGCCAGAGATGTCAATGCCTTGGTCCTTTCGTTACTGACAAATATTTCCTGATGGATGCCAGGTGGTGCAATCCCGGCTAAACAGCATAATTTCTTCAGTGGTGTAGGGTGTAGACATCCTGTGATAATGTGGCATGTCTCAATCAGAGCTTTAACATGGTGAGATGTATTCCACACTGGGTTAGTGTATTGAGCAGCAGAGTAGTAAGTTCAAAGGCAGATGTCTTCATTGTATCTGGTTGTGATTCCCAGGTTATCCCAGTCAGGTTTCGTTTGATGTTATTTTTGGCATACAATTTTGGTTTGATAGTCAAGCAATGCTTCTTGTAAATCAGAGGATGGTCCACAGTAATTCCAGGCATTTTATTTCTTATTTATTTATTTCAGACATTAGTATCCCGTCCTATCTCGACCTCCACAGAGGCACTCAGGGCGGCTAACAACCAGCACACCATGGTGCCAACAACCAAAAGCATAAATATACAATTTAAATAAAAACGGTATAAAAACAGTATAAAAACATTCAAACAGTCGCCGATTTAAGTCATCGTGCTGCAATGTGCTACCTTGCTCCAGTGGGATTCTTTCCCAGGTAATCCTCAGAGCTCAAGATGCTTGTCTTGTGACAGAAGAGTACTACATCTTTGTTGTTTGGTTGCTTATATCGTTATTGTATATCTATCCTGTCCTAGATATTGAGATGGTCCCATCTGTGACAGGATGCTACACTACTTTCCTGCCCCAAAGAGCTTCCATTCTGAAATTTGACATATCTAAAACAAGAATGGAAGAGAAAGGAGACAGATACGCAATAAGATATGGAATTATTTTAGTTACATGTTCTTAAGACTTGGTTACTTTAAAAGGAAGGTCAAGTGGTGACGGGATGAAGAAATGGGAGCTCCATAAAGGACTTTGTGCTTTGGGCCTTTCTGAAAACAAAAAACCACAACCCTAAAATGCAGTCATTTTTTTCCACAGGGTAACACCATCCTCTGAAAATCCCAATGGTTCTAATTGTAGTATAAGCCAAGGAAAGCCTTCTTTAAGAAGAATAAAAGGGAGAATACACAGAAGCAAAAGCCTCGATAGCCTTGATTTCTGCGAGTTCAATGTAAGTACGCATTTCATCCTGCCTTATTTTGAGTCCTTACTTTGCTTGTGTGCTGTGTATATCTGTTCTGATATAAAAGCCAAAGGCTTATTGTAATTGATGTAAAGCTGAATGAGACACAAGTGTGGGTCTGTATTGTATTTACATGGCGATACAATTTACTAAGGTTAGGAACTGATACTGTTTCTGCAACAATACCGATGGAGAACTATAAACCAAAACTTCCCTTTCATGGGGAGAAAAAAAAGATGTCTTTCTGATTGCTAGTTGACTGTTGAGGAAACACTTTGCTAGACTAAAGATTTCTAGATATTTCTATAAATACCTAGATCCTCCAGCACAACTCTATGGTCAACTTCCAGCAGCCCCAACCCCAGCAAATATGGAAGTCTGGCTGTATTCTTTATTTTAAAATTGTAAGTTGCTTTGAGTCCCAATTTGGGTGAGAAAGGCAGAATATAAATAAATATTACAATAATGAAGTATGACAGCCTCCTCTTCTGTCTGAGTTGAAAGAAGTCTGTCAAGTACCATATTTTCTGGTCTATAAGACTTCTTTTTCACCCAAGAAAATCTTATCAAAAGTCAGGGGTCGTCTTATAAGCGGGAGTCGTCTTATACGCAAGAGTAGCCTTATGCATGGGAGTCGTCTTATATGCAGGAGTAATCTTATATGCTGGGAGTTGTCTTATAGAGCGGTTGCTGAAACTTCCAATCCGGATTGGAGAATCTGTGCTTGCTGCATATTGTGGGGGGGAGCTCAAAATGGCAATGGCCGTGTCCCTGCCATATGCGCCACTGTATGAAAGCATTAAGGGTGACTGTACAAGTACGGTAGAAGAAAATCCATTCATCAGGATTTGTGGACTTAATGTGGTCCCGATAGTGAGGTAAAGAGGCGCCTCACCAGGAAGATGTAAGTGAAGGACGGAGCAAACTGCGGGCATCTGGGGTGCCCGGGGTATGGAAAAAAGAGATAGAATGGTTCTGGAGCCAGAAAAACACACCTCTTTTACCTGTCCAGCCCACCCTTGTATCCTATTACCACTCCTCCTCCTCTGCCTCTCAGATCTCGCTCCTGAAGACTGCAGTAAAGTGGTGCATGTGCACATGTGCAAGATCTGAGAGGCAGAGAAGGAGGTACAGTAATAGGAAAATTATGATACTGAAATCAAATCTGATGCTTTAAAATTTTTATTTGGTGTGCATTGGAAGAGGGGTAGTCTTATATGGCGAGTATATCTCAAACTCTTTATTTTAACTGCAAACATTGGGGTTGTCTTATACGCCCAGTCGTCTTATATGCCGGAATATATGGTAGGTATATTTTTGCACTACATGAGCAAAGTACCCAAATCTGGGGGTCATGGGGAGAGCTTCTATTCATCTGAAATTCTTCATCTGAAACTCTTCTCTGGCCTGGAATTGTTTATTATACTCGGAGACTTTTAGTCCGACTGTACTGTGTACTCAAGTTGAATTTGATATGCAACTAGCATGGGTTGCTCTGTCCCAGTCTGGTTAAATGGAAAAGAAAGAAAAGAGAAAGAGCTGGTTTCTAATAGATGTAATTTCATAATGCTGATAATAACAACAATGATACTGGTCTTTATAATAATGGCCAGTGTGTTTTGGGGAAACCCTTTCCGGTAATAGTATGATAGCTGGACCTGGAAGCTTTGTGTGTTATCACTCCTTCGGGAGCGCTGTTTGCGCAAGAGAGACTTAGCTAATGTAAGCCAGGCCGGGGACAGATAATATAGAAGGAACGTAAGAGTTCTTTAATGGTAATAATAATAATAATAATAATAATAATAATAATAATAATTCATTTATTTGATCAGTCATATGACCATTTCAAAATAGAACATGAGTAAAAACAACAAGGCAAAAAGGTGAGGACAGCAGCTGACCTTCTATTACAGTCAGAGTCTTATTTTCCTGGTTCTTCTTTCAGGAAATCTGCTCTTTCCTTGATAGCTTTCAGAATTAAAAGGCTTACTCTGATTATGATGGATCTTTCCTGCCCTTGCAAGAGGGATGTCAGAATATCATTTCTGTTGGGGGACCTGCAGTTGGATAATATTGGATGTAAATATCTGTCTCGCAATTCACTGTATGCTGGACAGTCAATTAAGAAATGTTCGATATCTTCCACTGTTCGTTCCCCCCATACGCAGAATCTCTCACTTCTTCGGATGTTACAAGAGTGCCCGGTTTGCATACGAACCCACGCGATATAGTGGTATGGTGCAATATAGCAATGTTTAATGCTGATTTTATACTATGCTAATAATATAATACATTGTATGTAATTTTTACACTGAGTCCCCTTCGGGGTGAGAAGGGCAGCATAAAAATGTCGTAAATAAATAAATAAACTTGTATAGGAAGGTTAACAACATCAGTCCTGGTGGTTGGCAGGCAATATGAAGCTTCTCACTTGATTAGGCTTGGTATAAATACTCAGAAACTGGCCTTCTGCTCTTGAAGGGAGCAAGCTACACTTCATGCTCTGGTGCCGGCCGCTGACTCAGGGACCTTGGAATTCTCCAGTATCCCTCTAACTGTGGATTTAAGTATGGGCCTTGAGAATAGGCAGGTGAGGGAAGCACACATAGGCATTTTCAATAAGGTGGGGAAGGGATTAGACAAGCAGGTGTAATAAGGGGTGAGAGACAATCGCGTCTTCTCCATCATGGTTCCAATTCAACCACCATACCGAACAGAGGATGGGCTGGAGATGTCATTGCCTTGGTCCTTCCATTGCTGGCTGCAACTTCCTGGCAGATATCAGGTAGTGCAATACTGGCTAAGCAGTGTAATTTCTCCAGTGGTGTAGGGCAAGACCCCTCCTTAGCAGACTTCAAGAAAAATCCGAAAACCTGGCTCTTCTGATGTGCCCTTGGAGAGTGACCATTTATCCCATTTCTGTTTGCCCCATCTATAGTGTTGCCTCTATAATGCTGAATGAACAGTAATCCCAACCTGATCAAACCCCGACCACCACCTGGTCAGCTTTAGACTCACTGCACCTCCTAACCTCCGCAGAGGTGGAGGACCCATTAAGCTGGTCCGCCCCAGGAGGCTTATGGATCCGGATGGATTCCTGACGGCTCTTGGGGAATTTCCCGCCACCTCGGTTGGTGATCCTGTTGATGCTCTGGTCGCTCTCTGGAATGGGGAGATGACTAGGGCAATAGACACGATCGCTCCAGAACGTCCCCTCTCAAGTAGCCGAGCTAAACCAGCCCCTTGGTTTACCAAGGAACTGGCAGCGTTGAAGCGAAAGAAGAGGGAACTAGAGAGCGTGTGGCGTTCGGATCCGAGCGAGCCAAATCGAACACGGTTTGTGTCCTTTCTAAGGGCATATGCCGCGGCAATAAAAGCCGCAAAGAAGACTTTCTTTGCGGCCACTATTGCGTCTGCAAAGAACCGTCCGGCTGAACTGTTCCGAGTTGTCAGAGGCTTGTTAAAACCCACCACTCAGGATGGGTGCCCTGATGACTCGGCAGCTCGCTGTGAAGCCTTTGCTCAGTTCTTTGCAGACAAAGTCGCTTTGATCCGCTCTGGACTGGACACCATATTAACGGCAGTCTCTGAGGATGTAACACGAGCATCTGCTTGTCCAGTTTTGATGGATTCATTTCAATTGATCCGAGGATGTGGACAAGGTGCTTGGAGGAATGAGAGCTACCACATGCATCCTAGACCCCTGCCCATCCTGGCTTCTGAAGGAGGCCAGAGGGGGATTGGCCGAGTGGGTGAAGGTGGTGGTTAATGCCTCCCTTCGGGAGGGCAAAATTCCAGCCAGCTTAAAGCAAGCTGTGATAAAACCGCTGTTGAAGAAACCATCACTGGACCCCACTCAATTCGTCAACTATCGGCCTGTTTCCAATCTCCCCTTTTTGGGCAAAGTCATAGAACGTGTGGTGGCCTCACAACTCCAGGCATTCTTGGTAGACACGGATTATCTGGATCCGGCACAGTCTGGCTTTAGGCCGGGGCATGGTACCGAGACAGCCTTGGTCGCCTTAGTGGATGATCTGCGTCGGGAGCTCGACAGGGGGAGTGTGTCCCTGTTGGTGCTGCTCGACCTCTCAGCGGCCTTCGATACCGTCGACCACGGTATCCTTCTGGGACGCCTCGCGGGGATGGGTCTTGGAGGTACTGTTCTGCAGTGGCTCCGCTCATTCCTCGAGGGTCGGTCTCAGAAGGTGTTACTGAGAGACTCCTGTTCTACTCCACAGCCTTTGTCCTGTGGAGTTCCTCAGGGTTCAATACTGTCTCCCATGTTGTTTAACATCTACATGAAGCCGCTGGGCGAGATCATCCGGAGTTTCGGAGTGCGATGTCATCTGTACGCAGATGATGTCCAACTCTGTCACTCCTTTCCACCTGCTACTAAGGAGGCTGTCGAGGTCCTGAACCGGTGCTTGGCCGCTGTGACATTCTGGATGGGGGCAAACAAATTGAAATTGAATCCAGACAAGACAGAGGTACTCCTGGTTAGTCACAAGGCCGAACAGGGTATAGGGTTACAGCCTGTGTTAGACGGGGTCGCACTCCCCCTGAAGACGCAGGTTCGCAGTTTGGGTGTGATCCTGGACTCATCGCTGAGCCTGGAACCCCAGGTTTCGGCGGTGACCAGGGGAGCATTCGCACAGTTAAAACTTGTGCGCCAACTGCGACCGTACCTTGGGAAGTCTGACTTGGCCACGGTAGTCCACGCTCTGGTTACATACCATCTTAGACTACTGCAATGCTCTCTACGTGGGGTTGCCTTTGAAGATGGCTCGGAAGCTCCAACTAGTCCAACGCTCGGCAGCCATGATACTAACAGGAGCGGGACGCAGGGAGCATACAACCCCTCTGCTGTACCAGCTCCACTGGCTGCCGATCTGCTACCGGGCTCAATTCAAAGTGCTGGCGCTGGCCTTTAAAGCCCTAAACGGTTCTGGCCCAACTTATCTTTCCGAACGTATCTCGGCCTATCAGCC